TTATAAATCACCTTCTAATAATAAAATTCATTAGCATAAGATTAGGAATCTGAAATAAGTACGTGGAATCATATGGTACTGGCATTAATATATATATTAAAAAAATATATCATCGTTTTGTTATACTAAACAAAGCAAAATACTACTAGATATCAATTGAGCAGATAAATCTAGAAGCACTTATAATTCTGATAGCAAAAGTCAATTCTAACATAAAAAACCTCTTTTGATTTGAACTAATTCAAAATAATTTTTCAATAAAACTATATCATATTAATTAAATCGCAATAAATACAGAAGAAAAAATCCAGATTCCCTGAGAGAAAGAGAGAAAAGAAAAACGATTAAAGCAAAAGTCAGAAAGCCAAAGAATGTTAACCCTTATTGTTAGCAAAAACCATAATATAATTTAATAAATCCTTATGTCGCACGCATTAACATATAAACTCACATCTTTTCACTCACTGTGTTATTCATTGAATGTCTTTACTTCCGAAAGAGAGAAACATCAACAACTAATAAACAAAACAAAGGAATAGCTAATTTGAAATGAAAACATAAGTAAAACCAGTGCATAAGTGAAGATAAGCTAATAAAAGAATCAGATGACAAAATACTCGACAAGCTATCAACATGTCTTCTTTTTTGCATTACAAAGTCGTTTATGCCAATTCTGTGCTAACGAATTGATTATGGAAAGTAAAAACCAGACTATCATGGAGGTAACTATGAATGAAGCACCCTTCTGAAGCATGGTACTGTCCTGAAATTACATTAGAATTTAATTCTGTCTTCATAACATGTTTTATATAACTTGACAACAGGAATTTACCACAATATTCATCCTACCATTGGCCAAATATCTGATCGATTTCGAACCACAAAAAAAAAACTCCACAAAAAATTTAAAAAACCGTTTATTTTCCTAGTAAACAAAGTATTACCTCAATATGTGCAGCCCCACTTTTATGGAGCTTAATTTTTTGAAACGCTAAATACTCCATCAATTTCTGGTGAAGGCGTATGCCAAATACCGGAACCGATCTGAAAATTGTTTGCAATATTGGAAAAAAAGAGATCAAAGGAATTCTATTATTTCAGGTATGCGATCGACTGAAGTGTAAAAAAAAGATGCCAAACAATACCATTACAAATACTTTTTGTTGGGAAAACACACTAACTTTAAGTGAACTATAAGATGCTCCACTGTGTTTTCACTGAAAGCCAGCACTACCAAAAACATCTAAAAACAAAATTTCAGAAAGAATGACCAAGAAGTCCGAATAAACATCAAATACATGACATCAACCGGTATGTTGTTATGTTAGCAAATGATCGAAACGGTGAGACAGAAATAAAAAAGAGAATACCTGAAGGTGCATTTTGAAAACAGCTTTTCCAATAAGAGTTGCTAAAAAAAACTTCCAAAAAGGAACCAGGAAATGTCCGCATGTTATACCAGCTAAATCGAAAAATGGATTCGGAATCTAAAGAAAAAACTTTGAAAAATAGCAAATATACAAGAAGATGAATCAATTAAAATGCACACACACAAACAGAGAGAGAGAGAGAAAGGGAGAAATGTAAACTCAAACCCTTATTTCCATTCGAATACAACTAATATATAGAAGCCATTTCCTAAGACCCATCAAAATTCGGAAGCCATACATCCTCATAAAAATTCATCCGTACATGAAATTCAATCAGAAAAACAACAAAACTAGATATCGAGAAAATGCCTACTGAAGCAAATGAAAGAATGCCGAAGAACCCAAGTTTAGTAACTGCTTTCTCCATTAGTCCTTTACACTTCTCAGCAAATGTGGGTGCTTTGGGTCCACTTTGATTAATGTAAGCTAAAAATTCTCTGAAAATAATACATATGAAATGAGAATTTGAAAATTCATATGATGGCTAACCAAAAAATAATTTAACCAATAATCAATAAAAAAACAATATAAACCTGTATTCTTCATCATCTGGCTCTTCACCAGAGATTCGTGCTGCCTTCGCCATAAAGTAAGGTGGTAATTCACCTAGTGCCGTACCAGCACCCCACATAAGTGCTTCGACGCGTACCTGGAGTAAATTTTAATACGATCAGACTTCACTAGAAAGTCATTCATTGCTGAAAATTTTATTCTGATCAACATACTTTTGACATTATCGACCACATTGTCACTACTGCCGCTTCCATGACACCTTCCACATTCGGACATGAAATTCTGAACAAAAAAAAAAAATTGTAAATGCATAGAATTGTCACTATTAGCTACTTTGTTTCGGTCATCTTATGAAATAAAACAGTACAAACATTGCACTTTTCAAAATTGTTTTGACAAATCACTAAATGCTAGAACCTTTCCGGATATGGTGGTTCAGGAAAATCCAGTGAATTACATTCATAAGCTGCCATTGTGACTGAAGCTATATGTGGCCCCTGTAAGCTTACGAGTTTTCAAAAACATCGTTACTTCAGTAAAATAAGAATCAAAAATGATTTGAGTTTCTTTTTTTTTGTGATGAATCTTTCGTGAAATGCTACCATTGCTGTAAGCTTTGAAAAATTTTCCAGTGTTTTCAGAATGTGCTTTAAAACAATAAAAATAGGAAAAAGTTTCTTCCCATAGTTCTCTCTCACAAATAACTAACGAAAGAGGTAGAGAACTCACAAGGTACAATATAAATGTATGGAGACCAGTTCCAAGCCCAATAGATGACAGTACACCCAAACCTATCCAATACAAACATTGTAATGACTTCACTTTCCAACTTTGAATGTATTTTTGATGAATGCCAGGAACATGACAAATATATGTCCCAACCGCACACAATAACAAAACGAACAATATACGAGCTTTGTGGAACCATAAGCTTAAAATAACGCTCAAATGAATCAAAAATAATTCTACATTTCATCTGGAAAATTAAACAGTAGAAAATATTAAAGCACAGAAATCAACAAAAAAAAAAAAGCTTTTGTTTAAAAGACTAAAACATTGATCCATTACAATCACAGAAACGAAAAAAAAAATTGAATTATTTACACTATTCCCACACAACATTTATTTGTATTTAAAATACTCTTCAGTGCATCTTAATTCCTCTTAACTAGAAACATTAAGTAAAAATCTTGACATTTTTGAAATTTCGATAGAAAAACATACTAAACGATGAACTCGACCAATAGCTGTAAAAGTTCACGAAGAGCATAGTGAAGTGTTTGAATAGGCCTTTTCCAGAGAACAATTTTCTGCCGTTCTAATCTGTTTAATGTTCCAACAGATGGACTTGTTATTAAACCTCTACCACTCGGTTCCATGTAATAGTCACTAAAGAAATAGACAACCTTTTTCAAATTCATGTAGAACATCAGAAGCAATGAAAGCGATGAGATTTGAAATGTTCCAAGACAGCATTACAGATTTTTCATTTTCAAATTTGTTCATTTATTGAACTTTACAAGCTATAAATCGTTCTTTGTGACAGAAACAAATCCAAACAAAATATCATTACTGGTCGCAAGAAAACCCATTGTAAGTTTTACAGCTTTTTTTTGATATTTTTTCTTGGTATCAAGTGTTATTATAAATAAGAAAAATTTTTTTTCTAGTATTCTGCTGCAAAATTATTACATATAAATGTAGCACCTAAAATACAATACAGCTTTCAATTATCCAGTGATACTTTCCTACCGAATTTCCTACAATTTTCCAGAATCGCAGGTGGATAAACAGAAACTTATAATTTTGATAATCAAAAATGGGGATAAAATCAGTAGAATGTTGGATCCTTGCTTCATAATGTGAACTGAGCGGATTTTCATAAGAAAATCAATTAAAGGAAGAATACCTTCCATTATTTGATTTAATACACGTATTTTCACGTACTCAACTAACAAAAAATGAGTCACCTGGGTTCTTTTGAAGATTCATCAAATGTAACTTGTCTAACGAGTGGCGAAGCGCTCACGGATGGTACTGATGAAACTTCCTCCGTATTTTGCGTATAACTTCGCTTTTTTTTGCCCATAATACTGCGTGATATTTTTACACAGCTTTTTCGACTTCTGAAGAAGAGAAACTTGATGGTAATGTGATGAATAAAACTTTCCCCATGCTTTGTGCATAAGTGCAAATGCCACTGAATCTAAGGGACCTTAAGATCTAAATGAAATACATGCATTTGTTGATGATAATTATTTCATTTCTTTTATGAAACAATCATAATACAGAACGTTATTAGCAACAAAAATAATTGATTAATTCAGCTTTTTCCTAGCATTATGTCTATATCCTCCTGTAAGAGCAGTATCAAGAGAAATATATCGATAATCCATAATACTTCATCAATAATTACCTCGTACGAAGACGTACTTTATTCTAAACACTTTAGAATGTATCCACTCAGCCTTATTTATCTTCCCGAATTTGGTGTACGTCAATAATATACATGTATATATTTTATGTCTATCTATGAGCACAAACTCTACACTTATTTTATCATGGAACATATCGCAACAACAATAACATTAAAATGTAACAATAAACGTAATGAAAGGACATTTCATTGATGGATCAACTGCCACTTCCAGTAACTTTCCGACAAAAGTCAACCACGAATCAATCCATCCATCACTTCTTATGCTCACACCCACTACCAAAATCGAAAATCGCTCTCATATGCTATGGCCCAATAATTCTGAACACTATGAAAACGCCCAGTTTCTTTATATAATTAGATGTGTTCTATTTACAATATCGTAAATTAATGACTATAAGCAGATAAGGAATATCAATATAAATATATATTTATATAACATAAGGTTAATACTAAATGAATTATAAGATAATCACTACAATCTTATAACTATGTTGAAAGGAACAGATGGATTGCTCACAGGATGATTGCTTGTTGTAGAATAACGTATGAAACTACTAGTAAGTAACAATGAGACAAACAAACAACATCAATAACAAAATCGAAAACATCACAGCTATTCAATTTTGAACATCGCACGAGTCTATAGACGGCACCCAACTATCCTTGCACAACAGTTGTCTTAATTGCGGTAACCATGTACTTTTCGCCTCATCATTTTCTTTTTCTAACTCATTACACACCTATAAAAAGACTTTACATATTTTACATGAAAGCTATTACTGCAAAATTACTCAATTAAGAGGGATATTACTTTTTTTTTAGTATAATAAAATGTAACATGAAATCTAGATCATCGGACCATATCTTCCCTAAATCATGAAAACATGTTATTCTTATCGTGCTTATATAATATTAAAATTAAAAGAAGGACCCAAAAAAAGTTGCTGCTAAAGAGTAGCTATTAAAGATTAGCTTTGCTAAAGTTTTCGAATTCCACATGAGAAAAGATACATTATTTGTATAATCTTTAGCCTTCTTCACTCCTTTTTTAAGAAAAGGAACCAACTTTATTTCCAAGCATTTCACATGTTTTGTACACTATAGTTTTACGCCAATTAATTTCCATAGAATCACTATTTACGTTACCAGAATAAATATCTCTAATATGAGTAATAAGCGTAATAAATAATTGGCACAAAAATACACGCTCCCAGCTAGTCATCTTTGAGTTCTGCAAAAAAAAAAGATCAAATTAATACTTTTATCTTAGAGGATTATCCTCCAAAAACTCGGTATACAGAAACATAGTTCTGGTCTACAATTTGTTTCTTAAATCGTAAAATATCTATTAAAAAAGTAGACGATTTAAAGATAAGGCAAAAAAGCAAAGTGAAAGCATCGCACTTGCAAAGTTAAAACAATCCAGGAATGCAGATTCTGTCGAACATATAAATCATTAGCTAATGATCGATGTTGCAAAATAGCCCTAAATGACAGCAAAATGTATTTCCTGGTTTCTTGGTCAGCAATGATACTGCCAAATAGTGATAATAATAGCTTGATCCCATATCTAAAAGCCAACTATTATATTAATTGGCTTTTGCATCATGATAAACAAAAAGAAAAGCACGAACAAATTTATCAAGATACTAAACCTCTAAAGCATCAATGTTGCATTCCAGTATCATCCCCTAACACTATTCTATATGCTCTTAGCTTGGATTCATTTAAATCTTCCTCACTGTGCAAAAATAAAAAGCATTTCTGCGAATTCCCATATTATTCTAGAGAAATTAATCCACTTTTTTCACTATTACTTTCTAAAACTTCAATTTGGACTATTCAAATTTGCAACTAGATATCTGAAAAACATCTCTTATCATACTCCAAAACATGCAGAGCGCAACAATAATAGAAAGTTGTCATTAAATTGGAAACTTCAGGAACTAACTAATTCTTTCCGAACTCCTTATTGACAAATTATTTAAAACGAAGAAAAATTATTGAAAACAAATCTTTTTTGTAAGATGTTGTAATCATTCGGTTCAATGAGTGAATCCAATATCAGGCGTAAACACCAATGACGCTCCTTGTTGTAATGCTCTATACTTGAACTCAGTAACAGTTTGTAAATTTCAGGAACATTTTGAACATCAATATTTGGCTTAAGCAGTAGAAACGATAGTACTGGTTGATAGACTGGATCTTCGGGATGCAAAATCAATTTCGTGACTCTTGCAAAAAAATGTGCGACAACTGCAATAGATGAAAATAAGCACACTTTTTTTTTCTGCTTAAAACTAAACACTGTGGAAGAAAAGCTGTAAGGAAAAATTGGAACAGGGATGGAAGTGCATCTCAGCATTTTGTATGCAGCATAAAAAGGCACTATGGGTAACCAAGACAGTATCTATTATATTGCAGTTAAAATCTATCGAAACTAAGAAGATGGACATGCAAGACTGTAATCGAAATATGACATTACCGCAATAACAATCAAATAAATTAAAAATTAAAACTGTTCGAGCGAATTACAGTTCTATATAAAATTTGCAAGAAATCAAACTCATATTGAGATACTGAGAGCACATAGAAATCAATTGAAAGGTATTTCAGAGTCAAATCTGTTAAATCATTTGCAATTCAAAAAGCTATAAAATATCAACCGTGTGGTAATCGTTGAATTGGTTCTTCGATACTGTTTTTGAATATTTGCAACAGATAAATATAAAGACACTTTTCTGGGAATGAATCTGTATCCAATTCTGTTAAGTGAAGTAAAAACCGTCTGAGCACGAGGTATGCGACACAACGCTCATTCCGACTAATAAAACTTGTTGCTGCAAATGCAAGTGAAAGACCATTTACATCAATAAATTTTCGACTGTTTATCTGAAAATAATGAAAATGATCATCCTTCATTTGCTAGAATACCATTTTGCAATTAAAACTTTATCTTTCTGCTTCTGCATCAAAAATATGAAATACAAGGGTAACAGATAATACTCACTTTGGCATGGTTATCTAACAAGGTTGCCAATAGTCGAAGTATGAAACGGGCATCATACAACTCATTTGAAGAATCCTTCTCAGGTATTTTGATGCTGGTTGTTTGTTCAGACTTCAGTAACGTATTCCATACCAATTTTGGATTTAAATAATCCAAAACCTAAAACTCGAAGAGATAGATTTAAGCTATGAATTTTACAGAAATTTAATTCATAAGAGATCTACGAATACTAATTAACACAAAAAAGACCTGATCCGCAGTGAGTTTTGTATGTAAAAGCTGTCCCAGTTGGCGCAATTTTTCGTAATTGTCCTTTGCTCGCTTTCCCCACACCATCGGAAAAAAGGGTCTGAAATTCTTGATACTGAAAATACTGTATTCTCCTAAGTAACGCATTTGTTTACATGTATTGTTTTCTTTTTTGTGTGCTCATTTCTCAAAAATAATTTGCATTAAACCTAATTTAAACAAATCTAATTTAATTTAAATATAATTTAAAATGAGTAAAACGGGAGAAGTCAGAAATCAAATAATATACCGTAAGCTTATCTGATACGATCTCTCGAGTAAACAAAGAATATCAAAGATGGCTCTATCTTTCACCGATTCCATTGCATCATATTGACAAAGCAAACGAATAATGAACCCTTGTTCAATTTTTAATTTCACTGCTTGAACTTCTAATTCCTGTGACAAACTACGGATTACTTATCAAAATACAGAATGATGAACCATCCTTTAAGACAGAAAGGCGAAGAATGGCCCAAGAATGAGAGAATATGTGACTAATATCTCAAGGATACTAAAATTCTGGGATTTAGAGCACCAAAAAATCGAGAAGACAAATAAGATGAAACTAACTTTATCCTTTGAGTTTTCCAAGTAATTTCGAATCCTTAGAAGAATGGTTATATCTAAATCACAATCCTCCAAGAGTATTCTGCTGATATCTGTTTGTATATCATTGTCACATATGTTTTCTTCTATTTTCTTCCGCTTACGAGATGTCATAATTACCTGGAAATCTTCATATTTCTCAACCATTCATTACTTAAAATTCAAATCACGTAATTACCTTCCAAACTTTTTATACCTTTTAAAATCTTCACATTCATGTTTTCTAATTCTTGCAAAAACATGAATGCTCTCATGATTAGATCAGTGTGAAAAAATGATCCGATCATATTGTTTAAAAATATCAATCAAAGAAATGCTACCATAAAAGCTCTCAAAGAATTATGACCGGGTTAAGATCATTTCTTCATTAATATAATAAGAAAACAGTACGGTAGCAGATGATGTACTAATTAGTTATGCAACTATTTCTGACCCGCATTCCAGAATTGGCACGGTCACTACTGACACATTTCAAGGTTAACAGGGAATTTTGTGCTGTAATAAATGCCATGTTTCCCAGCGTGAGCGCTTGCAGTCGATAGTGCAATCATTTTTGGGTGGTGCATTATCGATTGAATCGGGGAACGGGAGAGTCTGTGGAGGGTTGTGGCATGGATTGTCCACTGGTTTGGGTAGGGTTGGAGGGCGGGTAACTTTTGCATGGTTTGGCTTGATAATGGTAGAGGCGTAGAGGAGTAAGTGCGGGAGATGGCGTGAATTTGGCATAAGGATTGAGTGTTGGGGAGACAGAATAGCTGAGTTATCCAGGAAGTTAATTTAATCTTTATTCATATGATTTTTTTCATCGGTATAGGCGAGTACTGTTTGAAAGTTACAGTAACACTTTTGTCCTAAAAAGCATGGTGTATTAGCTTTTGCATATTCTATCCCACCGTACGAAGACTTCTTATATTTTATTGTATGAAAGATGACAAAGTTTTATGATGAGTTTATTTTGTGAAAAGATCATCAAACAATGATATGTATAAAAATTTTGTTGCTGATCTATTCTAATGTATAATCGTGGCTCGAAGATGCTTGCATAATGAATAGATCACAGTAGCGTGATTTATACCTTCCTGCTTAAGAAATTGGAAAAAATGACCGAAGTCGACCAGCATCCACAACAGCCTGAGCAGCTTCAAGAAATGGAAACAAATCTCGAAGATGTTGCTAAGGCATATTTGGAAGTACGGCAACGGAAGGAGGGACCACTAGCTCCACCACTGGATGCCAAAATTGCTGCTATGCTACCAAAGGTAACATTTGTCATCTCTTATTCTTATGAAGGATTAAGTGAGAGAATATTTCAGTGAGATTTTGTTGTTATTTTTTAAAAAGTTAGTTGCTCTTTATTGTATTTATTACACTTGTTTTAGGATATGGCTTTAAATAGTGATGGAAAAGATAAGGAAAAAGAGAAAGAAAAAGATAAAGAGGTGGAGAAAAAGGATCGTCGTAGTCGTGATCGAAGCCGTGACAAAAGTAAAAGTAGAGATCGTGAAAGGCGGCGCCGAACCAAAAGCCGAAGCAAAGATCGTGATCGACGGAAGTCCCGATCGTAGGGTTTTAAATCTGTTTTTGAAACTAACATCCAAATATAAAGCCTAGTGAATGATTGTGTAAGTATGAATAAAAAACTTTCTTGAAGAAAGGTTTGCGGTAGCAACTGAGAATTGAATAATTCAAGAAGGTGAGTAGATCAGAGTAAATAGAAGATCGAATTAAAAGATTTTACGTTTTGTTTACCAAAAATCATAGAAAGTTAAAGGTTGACATTATTGTCCAAAAATGGAATTTAATTTACTATAATATAATTCTTCTCCACAGACGCGAACGTCGGCATCATCATCGTGATCGAAGCCGAAGTCGCAGTCGCAAGGAGCGTACACCTGAAAAACCGAAAAAGAAATATAAGTTCTGGGACGTGCCACCAGTCGGTTATGAACATTTGACACCAAAGGAATACAAAGAACTACAGGGTCTGATCTTCTGTTATATGTTTCCTGACCTGCTACGTACACATTTTATCTACACATTAAATCATAAGCGGAATTTTTTTTTATTGTCTTCATATTTTAGCTGCGGGTCAGATACCACGAAATAATGTTCAGTCGGCAGTACCTGTTGTTGGACCTTCGGTGACTTGCCAGTCACGTCGTCTTTATGTTGGTAATATACCGTTTGGCTGCAGTGAAGATGCTATGTTAGACTTTTTCAATCAACAGGTAATTTTGAAATTAGTTTTAAAATGCCTGCTTTAAAATTCTGATCACATTTTATTTACTACTTTCTTGATACCATTATCTTTTGATGATGACTTAGAACTATATAATCTAAACTTCATGAAATCTTCATCTTATTTGAACATTCTATCCATCAGAGTATTAAAAATCTTCTACAGAATAAAGCAAAATTTCTTATGTAATACAGTCTTCGTGGAATGCTTTTTAGATGCATCTCTGTGGTCTAGCGCAAGCACCAGGAAATCCTGTCTTAGCATGCCAGATGAATCTTGATAAGAATTTTGCTTTCATTGAATTCCGGTCGATCGATGAAACAACAGCTGGCATGGCATTCGATGGAATCAATTTTATGGGACAACAACTCAAAATACGAAGACCACGGGATTATCAACCAATGAGTACCAGCTATGATTTGGGTAATATGATGGGTTCGTTTTTGGTTATTTCAATGTTTGCTTGAAGTCAGCTGATCGAAGCTCCAGCTTTCTCTGGAAGATTCAGTTATATTTCTGTTTATAGAAGATTTCTGTTTAATTAATCAAAATTGAGTTGATTGTTGTGGGGTTTTTTTATGTAAACTCTTAAGCCGTACAAATGACTCTCCTTGTAGGAGAGATATATGGAACTTAAGGACGTAAAATTCTGACTGTTGAATCAAATTTTAAATAATTTTCAGTGTCCAATATCGTACCAGATAGTCCGCATAAAATATTTATTGGAGGTCTTCCAAGTTATCTCAATGCAGAACAGGTTTGTTGAAGAATTGTCATGTTGTTCCTTTGATGGTAAGATATGGGATGAGAGCTGATTTTATAACCAAAGTTCGACCTGCTATGTTTCTTATCTTGAGTCGGCGTATTTCCTGAGAAAGTAAACACTTTCCCAGAAACTTTTCCATGCTTTCATCTCATCAGTGGCAGCAACTTGGCGCATTCATCATATGACAAATTTTAAAAATTTTTACGAGCTTTAGTGCTTGACTAATTCGGCCACATTTTTTCAGTGGCAGTCAGTCACGAGATGCGCTCTGTTTGCACTGTTATTCGTGATCCAACTGAGTCGGATAATGGAGAAATTGTTACAACACATCATACAAGCCATTACCCCCGCATTTCCCATTTTTAGGTTTTCAGGGTCGAGGTCGAGAAAACATGCATATAACGGGTTGGCATACGCTGAAACCTCCTATAAAGTCTTTTTATAATCAGTCTCTTAGGCTGTTACTGGGGCTTCTCTTTTGATATCAAATCCAAATTACTAAAAAATTGGGGCTGTTCTTCAAGCATCTGCTTGTTTTTCAGAATTTCAGATTTTTAGAGTAATGGTGAAATTGATGATTAGCAACTGGTCGAGTAAGCTGTTTTAACTATTTCATGCTTGAGCGCAAAAATTCCAAAATTGTGTCCCAATGCGGTAACAGACTTGCATCAGACATTTTATGGGTTAGGAAAAAGTCACGCTACCGACAGTTTAGGTACACATGGTAGGATTCTTTGACAGATTTAGAGCAACAAAGTTTCAAGTAAATTTTTTCAGGTGAAAGAACTCCTCTCTTCCTTCGGGCAGTTGAAAGCGTTTAATTTAGTGACTGAACAATCTACTGGTGTTTCGAAGGGATACGCCTTCGCAGAGTATTTGGATCCTTCTTTAACAGATCAGGTCGGGTTTTTTTTACCAGTTTGAATTCCGCAATGCAATTTTTTGCTGTAATGCAGATATATGCTATTTTAATTTTCCGTATTTTCTGTACAAAAATTAGCATTTCTTTCCAAATTTTTTTTTTTGAAATTTTTATTTTTTTAACACAACCTTAGCATTCTTTAGGAGTGAAATAACAGTAAAAGACTTCAGCTGTGTTGTGAAAATGGGCGAAAGAAATTTCCCTGAAAGGCAAATTTGAAAAAAGTAAACTAAGACATTAGGATGTTTTCAGGCCATTGCTGGTTTAAATGGTATGCAGCTTGGAGATAAAAATCTTGTTGTGCAGCTTTCTTGTGCTAATGCCAGAAATAATGTAGCACAAAATACGTTCCCACAAATCCAGGTAGCAGGCATAGATTTGTCGCATGGTGCCGGGCCACCAACTGAGGTGCTTTGTTTAATGAATATGGTTACCGAAGATGAATTAAAGGATGATGAAGAGTATGAAGGTATATTTGATTTCTCCTTATTTAAAGTAGTTGACATCTAATTCTTATGCAACTATATGTTGGTATTTGACTTTTATTTCATTTCGATATTTCTGTGTTAATAAGTAGAAAATGTCAGGCAGTTGCTTTCCAGATATCCTAGAAGATATTCGAGAGGAATGTGCTAAGTATGGTATCGTGAAATCGCTAGAAATACCGCGTTCAGTTCCAGGAGTGGATGTTACCGGTGTTGGAAAAGTAAGTTCTTTTTCTTTTTTTTTTGGTTTTTGTAAGATTGTGGTTTATAAAATCAGTACAAATTTAAGCAAGCTACTTTCAGCAGTCTACTCCCTTGTGATATTTATTCCGAATCCTTGCTTGGTTTTTTTTTTTTTGTCTCGGAAGTAATAGTAGCAGGGGATCGGGCAGCTTAAAAGTAGAACTAGTGTTAGTTATTATTGTTGGTTGTGACATTCTAATATATGTTTTCCGTTTTATTATTTTACTATTATTAATTGCTAATATTTAAGGTTTTTGTGGAGTTTAACAGCAAGCAGGAGTGCCAAAAAGCACAAGCAGCACTTACGGGACGTAAATTTGCAAATCGAACAGTGGTAACCAGTTATTATGATCCGGATATGTACCACAGAAGACAGTTTTAAATCTGATTCACTCGCATTGTTTTCTTTGTTAATTAATTCTTGAAGGTCATATATTTTTTCATCTCAGATATTCTTGTAAAAACATCTGTCATCTTGTATAAAATAATTTTAAGTGTTTGGGATGGTAGTTTTGCAGAAAATGGTTAGTTTCCTTTTTAGGCGATTAAATCACATATACTGACTTTTTGATTATGGCAGTCGTTTTCTCCAAGTGAGTCTAACTCAACGTTCTACTAGAGACCCACTGTGTGCTGATATGTTGTATTGCATAATTTCTGAAGAACGCTGCCTAGACTAAATTTTGTTTTGAAGCTCTTCATGCGGATGAAAACTGATTAACATATTCCCTTGTCATCGAAGTTATATTTCACGTATTTTTGTCATTTGACTTGAGCTATAGTCTTATATTGTGGACCGAATTTAATTATTCATGGTCAAATGCAGAATGAATCAATTGTTCTATGAATTTGCATAATATGAACAATTTTGATTTAATGTTGATTTTGTTTTTCAGAATAATGTTTACAAAATTCTGATGCATTTCTGTTGTACGCATCAACATCTTTGACGTAGAGTTCAGCTAAATCAGGACGAAGTACACAACCAAGCTGTGGCGAGCATAGTAACTCTGTGAGTGCAGTTAACACTGAAAAGTGTTGATTGTATTTTGTTGAAATAAGTGCTAGAAGTGAAGCTGATATCCCATGAGATCAGTTCATTAGATCAAGCTGTGGTTTCAGTTGGGTGATTCATTTTGAAGATTATTTAGCAAATAAGAGACGGGTCAATTTCATTGATTCGTAATACTTTGTTCATCCATCATTTTTAGCAACAAGGATTGGTCTCATGTCAATTACTTGCTGTATTGATTTGAGTGATCTTATTATTTTTGTTGGTTGGTCAGTACTTTGGTAAGAAATGTTCTTGTCATCCACTACAAACTTTTCAAAAAATGATCGATGTATTTTACATAATTCTATAATTTCCCGTGTGGAAACGAATGATTGTTTTCTTATCGTTAAAGTCGAAATATATTGTTGAGAAGAAATATCAACTAACACTGATCAATCTTGACGGATGGCTTCCAATTCTCATTAAGTGCCATGGCTAGCGATACCTGATAAGAGAGTTTATTTTATCATGCAATCTGGAGTTTCTAGGAAATTAAAGAGCCATTTTATTATTCCTTTTTGAAAATATACCTCTCCTTTTTCATCGATATTAGGATGATACACTTTGGTGAGGAATTTGATTTTCGGTGGTTGGAATGGATATTCTTTAGTGAATTCAATTTCTACTTTATAGCCACCGATATTGTACGGCCATCGATCCTATTAAAAAAAAATTTGTGCTAGTGAACAGTGAATAGTATTCACAGGAAAGTATATAAAGCTGTGGGATAATTTCATCTCGAATAGCTCATTTCACAAGAAATTTTCATATAAATTTGCTTATAAGTCAAAGTTTATTTAGCTAAACAAAAAGGTGGACATTTTTGAAATTTCTCTTACCGGCAACAGCGATACTAACCACTTATTCGGATTGCTTTTTCCGGCATCCTCTAATTCATACAATTTAAATTTTATTTCTTGAATATCGGATAGTTCCTGAATTTATGACAAAGTCAGACTTAAGACTAAGTGAACCAGCTTTAACTTCCTTAAAAAAATCTTTTTTCGAAAAAAAAAAATACTTTTTTAAGTCTTGTAACTCCAATAGCTTCTTCCTCTGCCATATGCAACCGTTCTTTACGACTTTTTATAACACCAAATACAATTTGAAATTAAAACTGACAATTTAAAAAAATTCAACTAAGTTTAATGCAAATATTGTTAAGTACAATTTATATAAATAATAAAATGATTTTCTACATTTATATAAAATGCCAAATCATGCCATTATTTACATTAATCATCTTTGTAGGGTTGTTAACTGCTATTGAAATTTTCACTCATTCAATAGTTAAATGGAAAGTATTAAAAAATCAGTAGAAAAGGTATAAAAAAGAAATTTGTTTTCTATCTAAGTACTAAAAATATTTCTCATTCTAAATTTCATTTTTAAACTTTTTAGTTTTCGTTATGCTATTAAAAAAAATGATAGAATTTAAGTTTAAACATTATTTATCATACTTCATTTTAATAAAATAATAAAAATTTTTTACTTACTAAAATTTTCTCTTTATTTTTTTTTTCTACAAGTACAGAGATCATTCTGCAAAAAAAAAGAAAAAAAAAGTTATCAATAAAAAAAAAAAACAAAGAAATAGGTACATGCAAATGATAAAAATGCAGAAAAGAAAGGAAAATTCTGGGGCAAAAAATTTTTGAACAAAAAATACTTTAAAATAGCAAAAGAGTTTCTCATATAATATTTATTGTATTTGGTTAGTACAAGTGAACTTTGCTAACTCTGAGTTCGTTTTTATATGATAAAATAATAAATGCATATTATTAATTTTAATTAATCTCTAATTACATAATTAAATATCTGAAACAATAAATGCATACTATTAATTTAATTAACCTTTAATTATGATATATAATTTATATATACTTCGAGATGTTAAATTTGTTATTTTTAATAATTCTTTTTTCTTTCTTATTAAAACAGTCAATTTGATATCAAAAAGTAGAAATAAAAAAAGAAAATAAATAAATAAATAAAGGAAAGGAAAGAAAAAAAGTTTGGACATAATTCAATAAATTTTTATTTCCAACTGATTATTAAGTTATAGAATACTCGACCAACAGGTACTCGACGTCATAGAAAACGTCGAAATAAGTTACCACCAGGTTATGATCAATGGGACGATGAAAATAAACAATATTATGAAGTTGATAAATTAATAAACAATATTATCAATTGATAAATTATCATTGAAAAAAAGAAAGTGTAAAATTGAAAGTTTTTCCTCAGCAAAATTATTCGATTAAACAATGATAGAATTAATAGATGAAAATTGCTATGAAATAATTTAGAAATTTCTTAATTATGCAGTTAAAACAACCTGTAATTGAGTATTTAATTATTTTTGCTAATTACGAAAATATTAGTGCATTAATTTAGAAGTTATTCAAATCAATTGACTTGAATAATTATAAAGAAAATAGGTAAAAATCTAATTTTTTGCTTTTCAAAATTCTGCAAGCTAAATTATTTTAAAATAATGAAATGATTAAAATAAAATGAAAAGTTTTAAATTAATGTCAAAATAATTTATTGGAGCAGCAAAAACGTTGCAAATGTTTTAAATAGAATTTAGAATTTAACAATTCAAGAAGTCATTATGAATTATTATGAAAGTAATACAAATTATATATCAAAAAGATGTGAAATGTTAGTGAAATCAAATCTCTCTAGGATGTCACCAATGTTTTGCGACAATGGAAGGCTACACGAATACAATGTCAACTGCGTCGCTTTACAATTGGATTTTGGCAATATCTTAAGGCTAAAGATTAAATACTATTATTTAAGAAATTTTTTACTCATTTTCTCTTATTTAATCAACTGAGCAATTAAATACTCAAACATTAGCAGCAATTAGCAATAATTAAATACTCAAAGTTGTTTAATCAATTAAGCTAGCAATTAATTATTTAAATTTTCTTGAAACAAATGCATGAGGTTATTGTAAAAGGAAAAAAGAAAGGAAGAGAACAAGAAAGAATGTTACAAATTAAGTTTCAATTATTTTTAGTATCAATTAAAAGGACATCCAATGCATGCTAATGAAATGAGAGATTATAAGAATGCTGTAGAAGTATTTGCTGGTTTAAAAGGAAGTCAATCGCTTGATTATGATTAATATTATACTTTAATTATCAGTAATTGATAAAAAGGAATCGATACTACAATATCTTTTATAAATCAACAATAATTTTTTTTTTTAATTATCAGATATATTTTTTTAATTATACAATTAAATGAAAGGAATTGCAATCGTATCGAATAATTCCGAGAAATTTTCATGCAAATAAAATTACCACGAATTACACAATAAAAATGAATGGTGCATTGAGAAAATTCAAATTCTCGACTAATTTACGTGGAGCTTTTTGCGTCAATTTACGTGAATGTTTTTACGTTATGTCGATTGAATCTTTGCTATTATTAAATCTATCATGTTATGTACATTTTCACATATCTAAAATAAACTTAGAACGAAATATTGGATGAAGATATCTTTACTGAAAAGAAATAAAAAGAGACAGACAGATCAATCAATGATGGGTGACATTTTTTTTTTGCCAATTAATGTACTACGAGACAAATTATATGTAAAGATCAAAGATTAGAATGTAGCAGTATGTAATATTCAGCAAATGAAGTTCTTCAAGAGTGAAAAATTGAGTTCAAATGATGGAAAGACCAGAGAACATGCATGCATAAATTTGAGAGTAAACAGATGGCTCTTGTCGGAGTTGCTAAAAAGAACAAACATGATTACTTCAATGACCATTGGTCATTCATTTCAATTCTTTGCATTTCAATTAACAGTGGAATTTTACCTATAATTTTATAGTAGAAATTAAACATTGAGAGTGTACATGGAACATTAAGCTTAACACTATATTAGCTTATTTTATTGATGTCTCTTCAAATGTAGCGCGTATCATCCGTCATTTCCATCCCTTATGATAAATCATAGATATCCTTATCTTCCAACATGACAAACGACAGATATCCTTATCTCCCGACATGACAAACGACAGATATCCTTATCTTCCGGCATGACAAACGACAGATATCCTTATCTTCCGGCATGACAAACGACAGATATCCTTATCTTCCGACATGACAAACGACAGATATCCTTATCTTCCGACATGACAAACGACAAATATCCTTATCTTCCGACATGACAAACGACAGATATCCTTATCTTCCGACATGACAAACGACAGATATCCTTATCTTCCGACATGACAAGCGACAGATATCCTTATCTTCCGACATGACAAACGACAGATATCCTTATCTTCCGACATGACAAACGACAGATATCCTTATCTTCCGACATGACAAACGACAGATATCCTTATCTTCCGACATGACAAACGACAGATATCCTTATCTTCCTATATGCTTATTACTGTCGCACATGTCATCCACATGAACATTAACTACATATGTTGGAAGAAAAAAGAACAGGTAGGAAATGCCGAAAAATCTATGTGTCAGTGATCTATGGTCACTCTGTGGTCAGTTTATGAGCAAAGTACAAAGTCTACGACCAATTTATATTCACCTCTCTTACCATTCAGTTTACATTTTCTTCTTTCAAATAATTCGATCATCACATATTCATTTTCTAATCACTCCTCTTCCTGATTATTTTTTCATCTCTCAATTCTAGGCTTCTTTGACAACTGTCTTACCTTCTGATATTTCCGCACTCTTAACCATTTGCGCTTATATATGTTTACTTATTTATTTATTTGTTTATTTATACATGTATTTATCATTTTACTTATCATTCATTCAACACCACTCACATCTTAATTTAGTATTACACTAATTATTAATTATTAAGTGATAATTATGATTATCTCTCATTCTAACCTATTTTTGCATTTTGAAAAAGATTTCATCAGAGAGGAAAATGTGTAAAAATCAATCAAATGACATACAAATATGATAGTGTTGTGCGGTTTTAATAGGATATTATTTCATTAAAATGTTAGTAATGAATGAATTGATAATTAATTACTGCGAATAATTCTACGTAAAATGAAATAGCAAAATTGAATGTTTTTGAGAGAATGAATTTTAGAATTTGTCAACTCTTCTTCTCGAAAATTATTTTATTTTTGCAATTTAGGGCATTTCAATCTTTTCTACAGTTTTTATAGTTATAAATTAATTGAAAGATGTGGGAAAGATTAGTATCAAAAATGTTCACTTGGATTTAATTATTTAATTTATTAAATTTGATATGATTTTCTAGATATAAATCTTACCAAATCCACATTCTTATTTTTATTTGTCTTAATGAAAATTTTAATAATAAAATTTGAGAGTTTGCTTACTTCCATATGCTATCACTATAACGCGTGTGAGTAAATTAAATTGTTACGTATCAACTAATTAACAAATTTTTATCAACTAATTACTAATACATTATAGTGTACTGATTATTCAGAAGCTAATTTGTTTGCTTAAAATTTTGTTGTATCGGTAATAGTGATAGAGAAATTTACAAAAAGAAAATTTCATTAAATAATCAGTTTGTGGAATTTTGAAAATCGTATTATTATCAGTCCTAGCTAATCTGTCTAACTAAGTAATCAATCATCGTTAACGTTTTATAGTACTTAATCATATCATAACTAAATTTACGTAAATATATGAAAACATAAATACTATGAAGGTATAAATAATTTTCGTTATTGTCTTTATTTTTTTATACTTAATTTTAATTTTATTAATCAAACTATATAACACATTGAGCACTTTCATAACTGACTCTTTTCATTTTAAAACAAAATTTTAAAACTTTGGGTTAAATGTAAATAATTTTTTGTTCATAGCTTCGAATTTTACAAATGTTTTGTTTCTAATTCATTAAGGGAATGTAATTTTTAACAAATAATATCTAGATTTTTTTCACTTTCTGAAACAATCTATCTCAATAAAATGCGAAATAAGAAATATTAATAAGGTTTACTGCTAATCTCTCTTAATGCATTTATTTCTGAGTAATAGTAATTGACGATATGATTGTTATCAAATTACAGAATAGTCATCAGCAGTGAGAAATATAATGTGATAACTATGTGATAAAGTGATAACTGCGTGACAACGTGACAGTTATATTAAAAAAAACAGGTTATTTTTAAAAGTCTCAGTATTATTGTTGCATTACATAGTTTTATGCAAAATCAACCACCTGTATTTTCATACTTATAATAATAATAATAATAGATAATATTAGTAATAATAATAATAATAATGACAAATTAATTAAATTACTTCTTTAATTATTTTTGTTTATCTTGCAGTGATTGCATCTTTTGTGATATACATTTGATGATGCATCGCACAAGAAAACAATACTTATTGTGAGCGAAGATAAACAATTCTTCGTTTTATAATATTTCGTTGCATTTTCCATAACAATGTATAATAACATTTGGAATTGTCGAGTACGACTTGCATGCATTTCATGCTTATTAATACTTCTACGAATTACTTTGGATCAATTGCGCATTTATCTAAATAATTCTAAAAGTGAAAATTATCAAAGAGAAAATGATAATGAAGGAAGTTTTACTAATGATATGGATTATATATTGGAAACAATGCAATATATGCATGATCTTAAACTTGGTAAAGCTGAAATTCGACCAGTAATTGAAGAAGTAATTTCTTTTTTTCTTTTTGAAATTTAAATATTCTATTTGTGGCATTCTCCCAGACAGAAAAAGATAGAGAAATGCTACATTGATTATTTTGAGTAAAGATTCTTATGTGAAACTCTTTTCAAGCTATTCGTTATTTCTAATTGTTTAATTAAATAACAAAAATTGATTCTTTTTATCTATTATATTATATATGTAATTTTTTACTTTGTTTTTTGTTTTTATTTTTAGACTAGAAAAGTAAGAGAGTATTGGTGGAGATGCAATTTAAAAATGCCTAAAGTTGTGATAGCAAATGATTGGTTTCAAAACGATGATCTCTATGTATATTCAGCAACCTATGATAGACGACGTAATTCGCTTTATCCAAATAATCATGTTGTACAGGTAAGTAATACGCAATTCACGTTATCCAAATAATCATTTTGTACAGATAAGTAATACGCAATTCACGTTATCCAAATAATCATGTTGTACAGATAAGTAATACGCAATTCACGTTATCCAAATAATCATGTTGTACAGATAAGTAATACGCAATTCACGTTATCCAAATAATCATGTTGTGCAGGTAATAATACGTAACTCACGTTATCTAAATAATCATATTGCATGGATAAGTAATACATAATTTATGTTATCGAGCAATTTTGTCGTACAAAATGAATAATTTCATTTATCTAAAAAAATTTATACAATTATAATAAACAATAAGAAAAGATAAGCAAGAAATTTTCATTTTTTTTCATTAAATTTATAAAAATATTCTAATCATAGCTTTTTCTTCTAAAATTATTGTAACATACATTTTTCTCATTCATTTTTTCCTTTTTTTTAAGGTATTAACTATGTCATTTCGATCAATTCCATTAACAGATAAAATATTTTGTAATCTATATGATATGGTTCGTAAACAATCTATTGTTACTGAGGGGACAGTTCGTGAAATTTGGCAGCGAGCCTGGGATCCACGTGATTTCTTTTACATTCCAAATTTGATTAGTTGTCCAATACCGAAATATTTCGAATATAGCACAAATTTGACAATTTCATTGACTAAAAATGCATGTAAAAGTCAGGAGATTTCGGCACAAATACGAATGTTACCGTTAAGAAATGAAAAGAATGGAATTGCAGTATGTGTAAAGGTAATACTATTTCGAATAATCATTCTCACTTATTCAAACTATTGAAAAAAATAAATCAATCAACAATTTTTCATCCATTTTATCATTTAAAACTAAATAATACTTAAATTTTACCAATTTATAGGGCTTAGACTATCTTGATGATAAGCCAGAACGTTTAGTTGAATGGATTGAAATGCAATTTATTACTGGTGCTGATATGATTACAATATATACTTATTATGTACCACATAAAATGCAGCAAGTTTTAAATTACTATAGTAAACAAGGATCTGTTACTGTGGTATTATTTTATA